TCCAAATAATTGAAAATAAGTGAATAAAAACAATGAGTTCCTACCCTGTAATCAGTAAAGATATTGAAGTTTTGTGAATTGAACAGTGATTGTATGTATTGTAACCATATTATGGGGATAGATGGTTTCCCACACCTGGTGCTTTGCTATAAAGTTCATTTCCTGATGCTACTGTTCAATCATACCAGGAAAAGAATGAGGGAGTCAGAAATGAAAAACTAAATATTATTTTCTCCAGACTCACAAGGGGCAACCAAGAGAGAGTAGCCAGACAGCTGACATCAAGAGTACACAGATCACTCCCCACAAAGTCACTAAGCAGAACAGTGATCGACACTTAATCTTTATGCCAAGAGTAAAAAATAAAACCCTGTACCAGATCAAAAGCATAATCAAGGTGTAGGTGAGAATCAAGAATCAAGTATACAAGGCAAAGTTGTAGCTCCCAGCCCCAGAATGTAAGAGGTAATGTTACCAAAGCTGTCTGCGGTAATTCTTTGGTCTTGTAGCAGCCTTGTAAGTTCTCTTCCAGACTCATTAATGCCTCCACATCTCGGGCTACAGTGGAGCAATTACTTCCAGAGACCCTGGCCATAAATCCTGGCATTGTTATACTTTTCAGCTCTTTGATCTTCAAAATAGAGACAGTAGCTCTGCCTGGAGATTAAAGGCTGTGGAGCTAGATCAGGATTAGACACTAGGGCTGCAGCATCTGTAGACATGCATCTTCTCTAACCTTCAATCTCTAGTCTGGGACTTCAGGCCCCCACTCTCAGGTCTTTCAGTGTCAGCTCAGCATAAGCCAGGGAACAAAAAATACACCTGAATCTGAATGTTTTGTTATTCAGGAAAAGTTAGAGTTCTCACTAGAAATGTAAATAACCTTTCCTACTCCAGGAAGGCCCAGTGTTCAGTCTTCACTGCCAAGTGTTTCATACTGCAGCTGCAATCGCTCATAATAATACAAAGAAGCTGTCCCAGAACTGAAAGGCCCCAGTACTAGCTTCAGCTGCTCAATAGACCAGGAGGAAGTAGAGCAGGGGCAGGACAAGCAGAGTAGCTGTATTCCGAAGAAAAAGATGGAAGGAAAACTTAAGAGAAAAAATGTATTAAATTCTATTAAATATAATTTTATATTTATATTAGAACTATAAAATATTATATATTTTAGGTTTCTCACATGGATTTCTCAACTTTGAGGAAATGTATAGGAACAAATTTGTTTGTGAATTTATTAGCCAAGTATTGAATAGCCTTCAATTGCTTTATCAGTATGATATTCAACTCTGTTATATTACTTATACAAAGATTGTATTTGTAAGTTATTTCCCCATGCAGCTGAAATTTAGTGGCTCAGTATGTGTTATATTAATAGTGAGAGTCTTCTCTAGCTGAAAGTTATAGATTGGGCCATATACCTACCTCATTATTCTGCTTCCAGCAGAAATTAGCCAGATGTTCCTGGCAATTCATAAAATATGAATGTGAGGTTTAGTATCTGTTTGATAAAGCTGTGATATTTGGACAACACATGAATGGAATGTAACTTATTCAAAAGAAGTAGATCGGACAAAATAAAAGGAGTGATGTGAATAAAGTGTACATATGGGTTAAAATCCAGGAATTTGAACATCTGAGTAAGAACATAAAGAAGAAGAAAGACACATTTAATAGTGAGGGTATACTATACATTGCTAACCTAGACAGACAGGGATAATGCCTTTCTGGACCAGATTACAGAACTTTCAGGAAGGAAAGACATAGAGTGAGAGACTTCTAGTACCCAAATATCTGTTTGAAAACCAACTTGATCAAAACTGTAAGATCCCCAAAATACCTCAAAGGTTGACTGTTTAATTGTTCAGAAGTTTGAAAACAGACAAGGGGATTGGCTCTTCTAGATTTCACCCTAGGACTTATTGAGTAGGAAAAGCAGTGAAGACTTTGGGAGCAATGACTACATCATCTTGAGATTCAGAATAACACAGAAAGAGAAATTGGAGCATTGACACATAAGTATACTGGAGTTCAGGGGAGACAATTCCAGCAAGCCTAGAGAAGGGCTAGATGGAATCCCACGGACCAAAATCCTTAGGTCAGAGGGAATGCAGTAAGGCTGGGAACTTCTCAAAAATTAGATATTGGGAGTAAAATACCATATAATTCCAATGAGGAAAAAATATGAGAAATTTAGGAAACTATTGGGATGATACGGCACATTCAACTAGACTAGGTTTTAGAAGGGACATGTATAGGAAATGGAAGTTGGGTAAAATTGCACAGAAATATACTAGCAAAAGCTAGAATCTGCAGAAAGAAAATTAGAACAATTAAAAGACAAAAGGAACTTATGCTTGCAGAAGAGACTAAAACTAACAAAAAGTTGTTGTTGTTTTTAAATGGCTGTGACAGTAGCAAAATGAAGGATAAGGAAGAGGTGGGCCTGCTACTAAAACAAATGATACTGTAGATATCAGGCAGAACACAATGAGAACTGTGTTTAAACTGATTTAAGCAGAACAGTTAACAAGGGAGTGGCAACCCAAGTTAACAAGAGATAATTAAAGAATACTTGGCTACAGTGAATAAAGTTAAGGCCAATTTAAGTGTCTTGAAGGAGTTGCAGATGTCATCCTGGAGTCCCTTTCTATGATGTTCAAGAAATCATAGAAGGTAGGCATAATGCCAGGGAATTGCAGAATAGCAAATATTGTTCCAGCTATAAAAGAGGAAGAAAAGACAACCCATTTAATTATAGACTGGTAAACCTGAATCTGATAATGGATAAACTCTGACATAGATTAATAAACAGTCAGCTTGTGAGCAATTAGAGAACAATTTATTGCTTAGTAGGCCAGCATTGATTTATCAAGAAGAGAACATTCCAAATCAATTTGATTTCCTTTTTGGAGAGGGAATAATCTGCCCAATTTAACTGACTAATAACTAATACAGTGGATTTCAGCAATGCATTTGATAAAACCATATGATTCCAGTAGAAAAGAGCAAAATGTGGTTAACAGTAAATGAATGCAGAGCTGGATGAACAATTGTGAGTGTATATCAGTGGCTTCAAATCAATGAAAGAAAGTGTTCAATCATGTGCTATGGGGTCCCATTATGGACCGTGTGCTGTTCAATATATTCATAAACAAATTATATTTATACTTAGAAAATATGATTAAAAATGTATGAATGATGAAAAGATGGAGGAAAGGAAACACCTTAGAGGCCAGCACCAAGATTCGGGAATATTTTAACAGGTTAGAACAAAGCAGGAACCAGCAAGATGAATTTCATTAGGGACAAATGGGAGTTCCTTTGTTTCAGTAGTAAAACTCGAAGTCACAAGCATAGGACAGGGGCAGCAGTACGTGTGAAAAGAATCTGAATGTCTTGGTGGATTACAAGCTGAACATGAGCCAAAAGTGCAGGGAAACTGCAAAATAAGCAAATGCAATCTAGGCTGCATTAACAGAATATTATGCTGAGATAAGGAAATGTTGTTGTTCCCTTCTATTCTACATTGTCAGATTGTAATTAGAATATTGCATCCAGCTCTGGACAGTGCATTTTAGGAAAGACACTGAGAAACTGGAGTGTGTTCAGAAGAGAGCAACCAAGATGATAAGAGACTTGGAATAAAAAAAAAATCTGCGAGAAACATTCAGATGTATTAGGTATGTTTAGCCTGAAAAAGAGAAGATTATAGGAAGACCTGATTGCTGTTTTCAAGCATCTGAAGGACTTTCATGTAGAACATAAGGCAGAATTATTCATAATTGTTCTAGAAGACAGGAAAAGAAACAGCGGATTTATTTTATAAGGAAGTAGATTTCATTTCTGATTTCATCAGAAAATAAAAATCCTAATGGTAAGAGCTGTTCAATGTGGCTATAGACTACTTTAGAAGGTGGTGGATTTTCCTTTACTAGATGCGTTTCAACAGATGCTGGGTTGCCATCTGTCAGAGATTATGTAATAGTGGATTCCTGTATTTGACAGGCATTTGGAGTAGTTGATCTCTAAGATTTCTTACATGCTATGATTCTACAAGTCTCTGCTTAAAGATCTATTTCCTAATATAGGGATAGATAGAAGGTATAATAGGGAACATCCAACCTGAAAACAAACTCCTAATCATTTGAAGGTACCACAATGTATTTGGAAGGACTAGTAATTTTGAAAACTCCTACAACCATGAGCTGGGTGTTAAGCTCATTATATTTTGTAGGAATTATTTCCACATTGATATGCATGGGATTTGTCTATAAATCTACTGTATGTACATTTATTTATTTGTTTTGCTCCTGGATGGATAGTTGGATAGTTGGTTGGTTAAAAAAAGTACATTCAACAAATCTGTTCCAACAAGTATCAAGTTTATCCCCTTTTTCTAACCTACTTACCCTTCCCCCACTGTCTTCCAGTGCAGTACTGGAAAGTTGGAAGACATCAGATGTAAACATCTCCTCTTGCATCTGATAATATTCTCTTACTTTGTAAGGATATTAAAATTTTTAATATTGAGGAATGTGAAAGATAAACTTTTAACTCTTTAGTGCTAACATAGTAAAATGTTCAATTTTGTGTCTGTGTATGTTTGTGTGTTACTGTCACTATCTGTGCTTTATGTTGCATGGTAACAAAACAAAACTGTTAAAAAAGAGTTGTTGTCCACTTGTAGATATAATTTAACTTTCCTAAATCCACAACCTAACATTATTCCGAAGAAGGTGGCTTATGTTTCCATTATAATTTCTATAAATAAGACACTAATATTCAAATGGTTACCTGTAATATTTTATATTTCTAGGTGACCTCTTTAATCCTGGGGAACCTCCATATTTGTCCAAAAGAAAATGACATCTATAAGATGTCACCATCTATAACAAATCTGAAAATTGAGTTATGAACCTAATTTTGTGTCTTTGTTAAATTGCCATTCTGTGTGACGTTCTGTGTCGTGTTATTTTGGTACTGTGTGTGTATGTCCCTAGGGTCTGCCAGGCTTCCCCACAGTTGCTGCCCTTCACAGTAATCAGATCCTCGCCGTCAAGGTTTGTGGCCAACATGCGTCAGCTAGCCAGTCTTTCCATATCAGCATAAAAATGTCATGGATAATGAATTTGCTTTGAGAAGCTGGTCAATCCATCCTATCCATTATGATCCTTATTTCTTAATGTTGTTGCATTGCAGAGGGATCAGTCAGAACTTCATGGTGGTATTTCTGTAAATAATGTTAATGGCCAAAACAGAACACTGCAACTCTACGTATAAAAGAATCACAAATATTAAAAGAATGTATAAAACCCTAATAATAATATACACTGTTCCTTTTGTCTTGGTGGTGTCACACTCACACACCCTTGCATTCTTCAAGAATTAATCGTTTAGCTACCTAAGGACCAGCAGGCCATGATGCCTTTTTAAAGGTCTTGTTCTCCTGGCACCTTATGCTGTTTGGAAAGTCTGGCGAAGGCTGAACTGGTGCTTTGTCTCTTGGAATCTTTGCTCATGATGTGAAATAAAAAAAAACATTCCATTTTGATCTTCCAGACACTGAAGAAATATTTTAAAATTATAGTCCAATGAGGTGTTTTGAGAGCAAGTTCATGTTATCACTTAGTTCATAAAAGAACAACTTCATGAAGGTTCTACCTCCCACCTTGTGTATCTGTGCAGTAATTCTAAAACAAGGCATAGATTCTTTTGACAGACAGAAGCACCAGTTGGAAATTATATTGTTACTACAAGTCTAATGTATACCTTTCTATTTCTTCTTTGGTGCCTTCTGATGTCTATTCTTCAACTCTTTCATCTCTGCACTTCAACCTTTGACCTCACCTGCCTGATCAGATGGTGTTCCCTAAAATCAATCATGGGTTTCTCTCTGCTGATCAGCAGCTCATTAAACGCCGCCTCATTAAGGTAGTGCTTCATCTCTCTCTGCACCTTTTGCCATGCCGTTGCTTCCAGCTGCTTGCTAAATTATAAATATTGCTGAGACATATTACTGTTAATTAAATGGATATTTGCTTTTTTAAGAAACAGCCAAATGAAACTTCATGGAGCTTCTCTATAAAATGCTAATTAATTTTATCAACTGTCCTGCAGTTTTCTTTTCTTTCTTTTTTAATTGGAAACTGGATCAAACAGTATTTTTGAAGGAACAGTGATTGTTAATTTAACAGTTAATTACCCAGCATGATTGATTGTGAAGTGGATAGACTGATGTCCACAAAAGTTGTTTCTTAGTTGTACTTATGAAAAGTCTGGTTAAAAAGAAATTAAATAAATATAAACCTATTTGACTTATAGCTTGAAAAGTATTGTACAGGTTTCAGCAAGAAGTTATATTTCGCTGCCCCTTTAGAAGTCAATCAGGGCTCACTTGCTGAATCTCATGAACCAATTTTGTAACCTGTCATAAAAGTTTTACAACCTCCATCTAACTCTAATCACGCAACCTTTAATACGACATCCAAAGAAACTGGAGAAAAGTGTCTGTGAAATTTGGGTGTTAGCAGTAAATCTGAGATAATCTTCTCTGTGTATTCTTAAAATACAGAACTTAGTTTTCACAAAATGAGGTCATTCTAGTTGGTGTCATGTACAAATGGGGAATATTTTTTGATGAACATTTTCTATTGGATTGTTACTTGCATATTAAAAGTGTGCTAATCTGTGGTTTAAGAGTGCATTGCCTTATTATGCACGTGAATTCTGTTACTTCCCAATCAAGATGACCAATGTAGCTTTTAAAACAGCTTCAGAGGCACCTCCACAAAGAGCAGATAGTCATAATCCAACAGAAATTTTAAAAAGGATAACTGAGGCCATATCCTTGCCTAAAAAGAGTAGCCATAAGCATCAACTGATCATGCACCATTAATGCCAGTAAGTTCTTAGGAATTGCAGGCCCAAATCCATTTACCTCTCTTCTCTGAGAGGGAACTGGTTCTTTGCTCTTAAAAAAAAAAAAAAAAAAAAAAGCCCATATTAATATATGATAAATATGACCAGTTAGTTATTCACATAGACAAACTGAAATCCTTGTCGGGCAATTATTTTGACCGACAGTAAAACCTTGGCTTGCGAGCATAATTCGTTCCGGAAACATGCTTGTAATCCAAAGCACTTGCATATCAAAGCAATCACCCACAATCCCGCAGCGAGAGAGAGAAGAACCATTGGCTCAGTTGTGATCATGTGACGTTCGGCATCACGTACTACTCCTATTGCAAGACATCGCTCGTTTATCAAGTTAAAATTTATTAGAAATGTTTGCTCGTCTTGTGGAACACTCACAGAACAAGTTAATCGCAATCTTTTTTTTTCTTTTTTTATTATATTGAATTGTGTGAATACATTAACATTGGTCTTGTTGATGGGTGTTCAGGGTGACCAAGGGCAAGCTGGACCTCCTGGACCCCCTGGGCCTCCAGGACCAAGAGGCCCTCCTGGAGATACTGGCAAAGATGGCCCGCGAGGAATGCCCGGGGTGCCGGTAAGTCAGTCATACGCATTGTACATCATATGCATCATACACATTATACATCGCCAGCATAGATAGGCTGGGAAATTGACTGACTCAGATTTATCAGTGGAGGGAACAATTGAGAATATGGGAGGTTTTCTGCAGATACACTATGAGGGGCACCCAGGCCAGAAATAATAATTTGATTGACTGGTTGTCTCTATCTGTCTGACAAGAAAGTAGTGGACTTGGCAGACATCATTTTTACAGACCCTTTAGTTTTAATAACCTTTTGGTGAAGAAGAAAAGGGAAGGAAGGAAGGAAGGAAGGAAGGAAGGAAGGAAGGAAGGAAGGAAGGGACACTTTGATATTATTTCTGTTTCTCCAACAATAATTGCTATTATGGCACAGTGATACAATAACAAAATTAAATAATGGCAAGTTATTATATTAACATGTTTACTTTTTTTATCAAACAATATTCTTTATCATGGGTAAGAGATTTTTTTTAATGAATAAGTTATTCTGTGGGTGCATACACACATAGGATAACTAACTTCAAAACCATTCTAGTTTGATTTTCCACAGATTGTAATAGTTAATCGAAATCCTCAGGGCCTTGTATGCCAGCAGCGACCCCAGAAATCGATATTAAATTCATATAATTAATTAATTCATATTAAATTAATATACTGTACAATCTATCCATTTGTGTTTTTCTATGCAAAATTACATAGGTAATTAAAATATTTGTACCAGTCAAGAAAATTATTGCTAAAGAAAGTAGCACTCTGTCCTCATGTTTTGTAAGAATTTTGTAAGAATTCGAAGGAAATAAATGAAACTAACTACAACTATGTGAGGAGGAAGAACTTCTTGGAAGCTATTCCTACCATCTTTCCTGGATATGCTTTATAGTATTGTAACTTTATTGATTAGTCAATTGACCACATCAAGAAAAAATGGGCATCAGCTAAAATTAGGTAAGGTAAAATGAAGTAAGATAAGATAAATGTGGATGTGCTCTATAGTGTAAAATAAAAAGTTAAAATAAAGCGAGATAACATCATGTAAGATAAAATAGAGGATGTGCTCTACAATGTACTACTTGAATGAAAAAATTGGTGGGAAGTTTTGGGGTTTGACGGGTTAACCATCCTTCTGCTTTTCCTCCTCCTCCTCCTCCTCTTCTAGTCTGGTTTCGTTGTCTGTTGTTTCTGTTATCTTGTTTTTATCTTGGTTGGTGTATTGTGAGCTGCCCAGAATTGTTTGGAGTCATGCAGCATCAAATCAAATCAATAAATGAATAAAATCTGTAACTTTCAGAATTTGCTTCATTTCTAGGTACACCAGGAAATTCTAGTAAGATATTATGAGTGATATTCCAAAAGTCATATGATTTATCAAATATTTTTCTGCTATATAATGAAGAGAAACTTGATTTTCAAGAAGTGCTGGATCAGATTATCTGTCTAATCCAATATTCTGTTTCCCATAATGGTATGTCTTTGGGACACAGACAAGCAAGGCATGAATGTAGTAACTTCCCCCTTCTGCCATTCCCCATTAACTGATCCTTATTGGTGTAAGGTTCATGAAAAGCACCATATAGTTCTCACAATTAATAGCCATTAATGGACTTACGCTTGGTATCACTTTCGTCTATTTGTCTTCCTTTTAAAAAGTATGGTATTTATTGTACATAATCATTATTTTGTCTTTAAGGGAGAACCTGGAAAACCAGGTGAACAAGGTTTAGTGGTAAGTATGCTTACATTTTCATTTTCTGTTTGGTACAATATATATTTTTATTCTCATTGCTATTGTAATGTTTTATCATGTAGTTTCACAGTGGCATACAACAACATAAAATGTCATAAATATGAAAAACATTCACAAATAATAATAATAAAAGCCAGCCTGAAGTAACATAATGATACAATACAAATTCATAACAAAGAGGTAATAGTAGTTGAGAGTATGACATGAAATACTGGTGCTGAACAATCTTAGGCCAGAAGTCCTTGGAAACATTCAGGCTTCACTACCTTTCAGAAGGCCATCATCAAGGAAGCCAATATAGAGGGAGGTTCCAGAGCAAGGTGCCATGACTGAACACCAGCAATTTCTGCCCTCAAGGGAAAATGTGAAATGCTTGGGAGTTATCAGTTTGCCGAATTAATTTAAAAAGTGATAGAACTCTTTGTTTCTGCTCATTTAAAAAAGGTTAAAACAACTTTTCTGTTACACATGTAGTGAAGAATGATGATGTTACAGATTCTGCCTCACTTTTGGAAAATTATTATTTTTATTTAGCAGAACAAATAATTTATTAACACTTTTAACCTAAACATGGACCCAAAATTATTTGTTAAATATATCAGATTTACAGTTTTGAATTCTGCACAAACTCCATATATAGAACTTGAGATTTTTACTTGTGGCTAAAAGCATTCCTAACCCGGGGTCCTCCAGTAACATTAGAATACAAGTCCCAGAATTCATATGCTGTCTTGGAATCCTGGGAGTTGTTGTCTAACCATCAAGAGGATATTAAATTGTGGAAGCATATCTGGAACTGTTTCTGCTTTATTGTTTTTAATCTTTTTTTCCATGAAGGAGGTATCTTTTCAGCTATTTGATAGGAATGGTTGAAAACTGCTGGTCCCCAACATAAAAGCAGAATTTTCAGTCACATGTTTACTGGGGGATATTTAAATAACAGGCACTTGAAATTTGATAACAAAGAAAGGATTCTGTTTGATTGCATTATCCAACAAGTTTAACATCTCACTTCTCACAGTGCTGAATTTGATACTTCAGGAGGCCCAGAGCACTTGGTTATAAAACAGAGAACAACTGTCCCTATTCTTATAACAGTGGATACCATTTCTTACAGCATGTTGAATTGTTAGAACTATTGTAAAATACTGCAAGAAAACCAAGTAAACCTATAGTGAAACAGAAATGCAACTATGTGAAATGCTAACATGTAACTTCTAAAATGTTCCTACCTCAAAAATGGCAAGATATCCATGCAGCATACTTGCTAAAACTAGCAGTGTACCGTCTGCTATTCAGCTACCCAGTTAAGTCAGTTTGTGGGCATATTAATAGCTTGCATTCCCTTGTTCTCTGTAGGAGCCTGTGGAAAGGTGAACAGGAGAGAAAGTCATAAATAAATAAAAAGCAAAGTCTTCATGACTTGAAGTACCAAACCTCTCCTACAACCAGTACCAGAGATTTCTCAGGAGTGTGGCTGGTGTTTAACTCAACTCACTGAGCTGGAGGTTCACAGGGCAAGGAACACATGTCAGCCTGAATAAATGGTGAAATGCATTTTAAGGGTGGTTTTAATTACAGTTGGCATATCTAACCACAATGGCTGCAGGCAGCCTCTTTGCTAAAGAAAGGTTTTGGTTTTTTTTAGACTGTATGATTCATTTCCCTCTGGAAAGAGAAAGAAAAATATGTCAATATTATGTTATAATATTGTAATAAGTGAAAAGGTTATTTTGAGAGAACCTATTGTATTCCAAACTCATGCAGAATAATGCATTATTTATTTATATATTTAATTAACACATTTTTATCTGGCTTTTTAGCTAGAAGAGCATTCAGAAAAGCCTAAATGAAACCTATTTTAAGAGACAGTCCTGATCTGTAGTTTTTCATAGCTAGAGGACAGGCATAGTTGATAGCAGTGCTTAACACTGCAAAGATTACTCACCAGTTTCTCTCTATGGCCCTTCAATTCTATACCCAATATTAAGGCAAATGGTGCCCTAATTCTGTACTAAATTGGCAAAAGTTCTTTTTTTTTTCCCCTTCCTCATATCACCTCTGCATCATCCATTATCATTTGATTAACAAGAGGTAATTTTTTACTCATTCTCCACACTTTAACTGCTCACATTTATAGTTGAAATATCTGTCCCAATCAAGTTAATAATGTAGAAGTTTATAAGTTGTTTTTTACTAGGAGATGGGCAATTTTGTTGGAATAGTGACTCCATATAAAGTAAAGCAGAGAATGGGTATAATATAGAAGATAATCATGGAAAAAGAAAGGAGGTCTTGCAGCCCATAGTTAATGTTCAGGAAGAGAAAAACACCTATTGTATTATTGCAGAAGAACACTTGGGTTTTCCTTAATATACAAAACATCAGCTGATTTTGGCTCAAGATTGAACAGTTGCACAATGGGGCATGTTTAATTAGTTATTTAAACTTAAATTGACTATATTGTTATGCTAATTCTGTTGTTTTCTCTTTCAGGGGCCTCAGGGGCCTTCAGGACAAAAGGTATACTGTAAACAGTGTTATGAAAGGGATTTTTTCTGTCTAGTGCCAAGCTACAATCTGCTGGAATGAAGGGCCTTCACTATTGCATCCCACATACTGTAAAAGCCATTCAGTTTGTGAGCTCTATTTTCTCAAAATACAGCCACATAAAGCAAGAAGAAAAATCTCAACTCCTCCCTACCAGTTATAGAGAGATGAAGCAATGCTTCCTTTCACTCTATTAGCTAAATTTACCAATTAAAAAGGGTTCTATCATGTTCTGACTTGAAGACTGGTAAAATAATGAAATCAAATTCCAAACATTGTGGGAAATGCAGCTTGAATTTCATTTGGCCTTTGAGTAGATTGCTGCCATATGATGTTAAAAAAAGGATCCTAGGTGTTGTTGAGAAATGGAATTTTGATTGCTGGCCAGTATCATCTGATTTCTATAGTAACCTGAGAATTGACTTCCTGTGAATGTTTTCAATATTATTTACATTCATCAGGACTGACAGTGAAAGAATGAATTCATAATTTATGGGCCGCAGCATTGCACCAATACCAAATACATCAGGAATAAAAACTTTTCAGATGAATTTTCAGAGGCAGCTGCCTGGCAACTTATCTCCCACTCTCCCCGCTCTCTGCCATCCAGCCCAAGACAAATTGTTTTGAGCATTGTTTTTTAAAAATAAAATGTTATAATTGGCATTTCATCAAATGTAAGAGTTCAAGAAGGGATTAAAGGAAACTAAAATAATTGTTAGGTGTAGAAGGTACAAAACTTCTGTCTCTAACTGGAAAGCAGTATTTTTTTCAAAAAAATTGCAAAATAAAGTAATAAATTGCTAGTATGATGATGTCATAATGCAGTGAATGTGCTTTGTTTCTTTCTATTCTATTTCTTTAAGTTTAGTTTGTATTAGATTTTACTATTATAATCAAAATTCTTAATAAAAATTACATAGTAATGTGTCCATTGCTGGAATGCAGGCTCTAAAGATATTATGCCCAAGAAATAAAATTAGAAGACTAACAGTCACAAAATGACTATGGTCTGTTTATATGCATACAATATGCAAATATAGATTCTCTGCTGTTTGCCTTTCTAGTGGATACACAAGTGACTAACTTAATTGGAAGCTCTTGATCCCAGACAACCATGACCATATTTATCATTTTAATGATATGAGCAATATTAGACTTTATTCACAAACATAGCATAAATAAAGATTTTAGAAACATTTCATATTTCGTTGGACCAGTTGTAATAGTAACTTTAAAAATAAAACTACATAGCTCTTTCATTCTAAGATTCTGGAGGTGAAATGCCACCTGGGTGTCTCCCCCACAATTTTCTTTTCATTACATGCAATATCTATCTAATTTGTTTCTTCGTAGCTTTTGTCTGTTGCAACACCCAGTGAGTTACTCTTTGAAATGCGTTTTGTATTTTAATGTATTAATTATACTGCTTTGAAGGAAAAATACCAGTTCATCTATCATTCCAAAGATTGGACATATTTTGGATGTCCCACCCACACCCATATGTGGGACCTGGGGAATATGTCCCATTGCTCCTAACTAGGATTTTTACATTTTCTATAATGAATACAGAATTAAACAAAGTATCCAGTTACATTAAGGGGTGTGTGTGTGTGTGTGTGTGTGTGTGTGTGCGCGCGCCTTCAAGTCAGTCTTGACTCCTGGGAACTACACGGACAAGTCCCTGCAGCTTTCTTGGCAACATTTGCCATTGCCTGCTTCCTAGGGCTGAGAGAGAGTGACTGGCCCAAAGTCACCCAATTAGTTTTGTGCCTAAGGTGGGACTAGAACTCACGGTCTCCCAGCTAGAGCCTGGTATCCTTAACCACTACCCCAAAGTACTCGCTTTGTACTTCAAAAGTACAAAAGCTACAAAAGTACAAAAGTAGTTCAAGCACTCGCTTGAAGGAATTAGTACCTAATGAATATAGTTTTGATTTCTAAAATTCTGAATGGATAAATTTAGTAGGAACATATATATTCAAATATTTTAATTTCGTTACCTCTTAAATACCTTGAACTAGAAGTAAGCATGCTAAAGTAGAATACAACAGGAAATATAAGATACTATTTCTTTTGAAGTTGTATAAAGGAAATCTAACACAAGAGACTTTCAGAACGTTTCCAGCAAAGCCAGACTAATGATATGTGTTATCACTAGTATCTTTTCCATCTGTCCCTCTTTGCTTTATAACAATTAGAGTTTTGGCCAGATATTTAATCACACATGGCACAATCTGTGGAATTATTTAGAAAGGGAAGATAAATGGGTGGTTTGATTTACTTTTTCGCTATACTTCACAGGTGTGACAGTGTGTTCTGCATGTCTATTTTCTTAAAAGCTAACACAGACTTTTCTTTTCAGCAACGCAGGATATATAATTATGGTTTGAAAGTGTGCTACAGAGGTTTTTTTTTTTTAATTAAGGCCAGTTCTCATTACTAACATGACTTTTTCTGCTGATTCATTAAAAAAGATTCAGTTTAATTTTACAATCATAGGTGATATTTTTTTCAGATTAGACCTCCAAACCTTTCAACATGTAGCAGCACATTGAGTGGATCAAAGAAACTTGATTTATTTTCTTTCATATTATTGTTTAAAATGGGCATATGTGTTTGAGTTCAGTGTTTTATCAAAAGGCAAGGAATATATTGATAACACTTTTTTTTTTGTCTGCGCTCAGTCATTGCTGACCCTGCAGTGACTGCTTGGACGAGTCCTTGCAGTTTTC